GTTGATCATTTCGTGCAGTTATAATGCTCCTTGCATTCGGTTGATCGCAATCGGATTAAATGACTTCTCACTTTTCTGGATTCATTGCTTTTCAGTCATTAAATATTCCTGCTATTCCAACGATGCGGCGCGGCATCCGGTTGTTTCCCACCGTTGATTGCGAAGGCGTGAATATAGCGATTATATAGGAGGTACACATACCATACGCAATTCTTTAAACACGCGAGAAAAATGGGGCTATTCTTAACGTTTAATAGTTCTTTCTTTTTGCAGCTTACCCACAGATAAATCAATTCTAATCTATATTACCATCATGATATAGAATCCGTCGGAAATCGCACTGATAAGAGAAGAACATGAGACGATTTAACAATAATCTCGTTCCATTATAAGTGCGATAACTTTATGGTAATGAATTCTAATTAAACAAATAAAACATATATCTATGAGGTCACATCTAATGGCTTGATAACCTGCTTGAGTGCTTTATATTAGGAATTATACGACATAATAAATAATATTTCAACATTTTGTTTCCTCTTTAAATAATAACGTATTTTTTCTAAGATAAACTATATTTTAATTTATGACCAATCATATAAAATACACTGATTTTATAAATTATATTTGTTAAATTGATTTAGGATGAATGTCACATTTAAATAATTTTGTTAGTTATAATAATTTTAATAAATTCTTTATTACAGATATTCTTAGCATTTTTTTTACCAATTGAATATTTGTAATATTTAAAATATTTCTATTGGGTTTAATATTCAACAAAGCGTAATTTGCATTACGCTCGTCATGTAACGTTCAATATTCAACTTGTTAGAAAGGCACGCGAGATCAGTTGTCATTGTTCCACCGATTGCCACTTACTCGACAATTCACCACGTAGCCGAACTTTCACTTTTGGCGATAGTATCGATTTAAACGCCATTCTTCCTCGGCTTTTCGACGAAAATGCATTTCCGCGCTGTTGATGTAATCCCTTCTTTTTAATGAATCTTTATAACGAATTTTATTCAACAACTCGTGCTTGGTTTCTTAGTAATTGCTATAAATATTTAACACAACGATATTTTATATAAAAAAAATAATAGAGCAGAATATCTTTCAGGAATAAATTGCTTATGTAATTATATCTAATTTTTTTATACTTAATGAGTACTGGGTGTTGCTTGGCGGCAAACAAATCACTGATTCTATCTTATCGCAACTCATCAATGATAAAGAATAATGTAACAGAGCACTCGAGTGCGACCAAATTATCGGATTCTTAAGTTTTATGCGTATCGAAGCATTAAATCGCTTTTCACCTAAGCACATAATTAAGGTCATATTCCATAGCGCCGTCGCGCGCGTACGTAACGTCAAACATATTCAAAATGTATAAGCGGTTTTGCCGCACGCTGACCGCTCTCTTCTTAATCCAGGACACTGTATATACGGCAACTATAAATAAGATATCTTACGAAACAAGAGTCTTGCACAGGTAAAAAATATTCCGAAATCGGGTGAAAGTGCTTGATCAAGAAAACTGTTCTACAGTATAATTCTCTCTATGCAGATTTCTTATCAGAATTTGTGTGCAGTCGAACAATTCTGTACATTATAATCTTACCAATTAAAAGGAAACCCATATACATATGTTTGCAGCACACGATGTGTACAAAATAATTTGATCATTCTTTATTCATAAAATTTCATTTTTATCATAATAGAAATTAGAATTATTTTGTATGTGCAATCCCCCCCTGAAATGCGTTTCTGTAAATTTTAATTTATCTTCATATCTATTTGTTCCTCTTATATGATTAACTTTAGTGCATACTGCGATTTTTTCTAGACTGTATGAAGCCTTAAGTCCACGATAGAAATTGATTCGAGATCTTGACTGAAGTAAAAATTGACCAATTGACACATTAATTATGTGACTGAATAGTTCTAATGTAATGTTTGTTAATTCTTTCTCCGTCCGAGATCTCGAACCGATTTCTAGCTTCGTGGACACAAGGCATTAGACTTCGTTGCAACATATTTAACATGAACGGTAAAATATGAGATCAATTTCTAACCAGAGGCATTATGTCTATCTAACAATACAGTTGTGTTTCTTGCAGCATATATGTGTATTTTGTCGATCATACGATATACATAAATAAGATGCTGTTGCATTCATTATTAGCCGCATTCCGACATTGTCTCGTGAATTGACATCGGTGACCTCGCCGTCTAGAAATCGAAACGTGCCGCACTTTAAAAAAGAAAAAAAAGATTCTGCACCGACAATGTTTTATTTAACATGTTTGTTCGCTGACATTTTACGGAATTCAGAGCAAAAGTTTATACTGTTCGACAAAGTTTTTCACGACGTTTCGACTTTGAAATATACGATTAAAATCGGCTTTGGCTTACCGCCTTGATTCAGCCTTTTATTCCAGCTAAAATAAGTGCTGATGTTGGTAACGCGAAATTATTATTAGCCACAATTGAGATTTTTTTAAACAAAAATTTTTATGTTGATATTTGTTAATAAAAAGGAATATGATTTTCTTCTTTTTAAGATACTTTTTCAAGAAGTTATTTATAATTATAATTTTTTTTTTTAGTACATATGAAGATTACTTTAAGAGCTCATAAGATTGTTTTATGGATCCGCATCCTTTTGTCCCTGCAACTATTTTCTAACATATGTGACGAAAGGATCGTTAAAACACATTGTGGTGTGCCTTCAGTTTCTTGCTTGCGATGTTATTTTGCAACGAAGGAAGTCCTATGAGAACATTGTACGCTATTGTAGCGTTTGTAAAACGTATAGAAGAGAATAGTTAATGAGAGTATTTCTCAAAGTGTAACTCCTCCTTGAAATGTATCTATATAATATTTTCGTTGCATTCAACATTTAATCAATTTTTTGCTGTTGCAGTAAAAGATATTTAATAATTTAAAAGTTACTAGTTCTTTCGTTCTCCAACATAGGATGTAATAAATAAATTGCACAGTTGATTCATTTCATAGTAATGAGTCATCTCGTGTTTCGAGACTATCAAGATCATGCTGTGATCGACTGCGTTCTATAACCTTTGTCGATTCCTGAGAACGGCCTTGCCGATTGCCGAGGGCCTCGATACCACTACGATGACCTTCGATTGTATAGATTAACCTAATATATGGCTTGACGCGATGAATAAAGCCGTACATGTGCTTCGTCCAGTTGGTTAGCTTCTTATTCGAGAGATAATTAAATCCATATTTCTACAAAAAAGAGAAATTGCCTTATTTTATTTTTTTATAAAAAGCTTTATGTTGAAATTCAACAACTAAGGATAAATTTGAAGTCACAGTGTAAACAGGAACATCGAAGGAATATAAAAAATTGTAAAATTCTTGAAATTAAATATATATATTCGGTACATATATTGTTTTAAATAAACAGTTCCGATGGCAAATTAGGAAATATATTACAATAATTGTGTTTTTTACAAGTTTACTTAATGAAAAATATGGAAATGTATATTGTAGAATATCAATTGCTAAATAAAATATAATATACGATACTCTTGTCATTCGATACTTAATATTCAGTTCGTTGAAAAGATATTGTAAGGTATATTGCCAAATCTATGATTAAATTGCAAAAGCATTAAGAGAATTCCTATTAATAATTTTACCGTAATGTACATCACCATTCTAGTCTGAAGAATCTTAACGTGTTTCATAATGTTTGCGAGAAAGATTATGAGATGATGATGATACGCACAGCTGCCGGATTACTGCAGATGTACTTATTTGGTTAATGCTCGTCGCACTGTATCACGAAAGTCATATATCTTATTTATCAATGGCATATCGAGTGTAACGTGACAGGGTTGAGTGCAATTTCAAGAACTAACTAAATGTCGTTTAACCTTTTTGAGATGAAAGGGTTCTAATAAATGCAATTTTAATGCTATTTAGCATCAGAAGAATTTTATCTTGGATGTTAAACTATTATATTTCATATCCATATCGGTTCATGTCTCTGCAAATTAAGTCGAAATACATTGTTTTATATATATATATATATATTTTACATTTTTAATTATTTTACTTTGTTTAAACACGATTTTTATTATTGCAAGCAGACATTGTATAATGTTTCAAAGTTTATAAAAAAATTTGGCTTATGAATAATTTGGCCAACATTTCTTTCGATCTGCTATGCGCTAATTAACAAAAACTTTCAACAAATCTGAAACTCACTTCTATGACAACTAAACCATTTTCTTCTTTTAGAGAAGAATACGCTTCCAGAGTACTTAACTTGTAATTAATTCCGGCGGTTAAATATTGAAAATATCTCATTAACAAAGAGAAAGAGATTACGGCGAAAAAAACTGATAATTTCACCTCGTTAACGTCATATGATTATCTGTATAAGATATTAGATTGCCTTAGTATATTGATATCATTATTATGAAATATTGACAGTTCATAACACTGCGAATAAGGCCGCGAGATATCATTGTCGTGCCGTAATATTATCATCACCAATAGTATTATTCGTTATTTATCGCTGACGTTTATTTCCCGCAAGTGCAGTGCAATGAAATTTATATGATGAAATTATCCTGGTGAAAATAAATAATTTATAAGCATACAGGTTCTAAAGAGATATGCAAGAAAATTAAGTAGGACACTTCTCGATCGAAATAAGATTCGTAGAAAACAAACTTTTAATATTTATAGAAGAGCGCGTTTGCAACACTTGTTGATGAAACCACCGAAAGAGTTGATGACGAAATGCGCTGCACATAATACCTACTGTATCAGATTGTGATTAGTATTACAACGAATCAAGTTTAATATCGATTAAAATTCGAAAATATTTGAGAGGTTTATTATACTAAGCGTTTTATTTTTTTTATTTTTTTTCCGCGTTATGTTTATCATGCAATCGTATAAACCTGATAAATTGACGTGGAATGTCAATAATAATTGTTTTCTTGTTACAGATATGGCACAAGCAATGTTTCAAGTGTCAGGGTTGCGGTATGACCCTGAACATGCGGACGTACAAGGGTTTCAACAAACAGCCATATTGCGAGGCGTAAGTAGGAACGTTATACATGTTTTGGTATTTAATTTCTTGTTTACGTGATCGTATACTTCTTATGCCTCTGACGAAATTCGCGTTCCATTTTATTGCAGAAAGAAAGTTGACCCGTGAAAACTGCTGTCTGCGAGTCGGACTGTTTGTCGCGTTCTCTTTTTCTGTAGCATAACAAACTGCTTTACGCAACCAAGTTATTCGTTTTAACTTAACACTTGCTGGCATTGCCTGGAAAAATCCTAATAGAATATAAAAAAATTATTTTTTTAGTATTTTGCATTCACCCCTATTAACCTGGACCCGCCACCATCGAAAATCAAGTTCGCAATCATCCATCATCTTCTTCGGTCCAGTTTCACAACTCACTGTTAACTCTTAATCCAGGTTCAACACCCCTATTAACCTGGACCTCCCACCATCGAAAATCAAGTTCGCAATAGGTAAAAAATTTAGTGCTAATTAGGTGCTAATTTAGTACCCTATTCCGAAATTTAGTGCTCAAACCGTTTAGCAGTAATTAAAAAAAAATGAGGAGTTCAGCGCGGCGCGCTCTAATATATTGGAATTAACGTTATATTCGAATTGACGCTATATTTTAATTTTTGTTGGCTCTATCTTGGAGCACTAAATTAGCACTAAATTTCCTGTGTACTTATTTTTTGTATACGTGCCCTGTATA